GATTCATGGACCGGTAGGGCCCTTGTTTTTTTAAATCCGGTGTGTGGGCCTCATTCCATACTTCAGCAGAACCACCCTTGGCCTCTTTTACATCAAAATGAATCTTGGGCTGTTATGTGCCAGATTAATGATCCGGCAGGGCCCTTGGAGCGCGTGGGCCTGTAGTACTGCACATGGAAGTCATTGGGCCGGTAGTACCAAAGGACCGAGTTTCGGGCGGCCAAAACCGAAAAGGTTTTGGAGTGGGCGATTTCTACCAATTATCCCAGAACAGTATCCTATCCAATCTTCCGTCCAATCCCATTTGGGGCCTCCTCCCCCTTCCTCCCTCTGCAACTTCCACCATATCTATCCATAGCTCGTCTGCCAACGAACAGAGCAGCAGCCACAAAATTATGTTCCGCCGCCTCCCAGATCCAGTTGCATCGCAAGCAAGCAAACACGTCCGACCTCGATTATGCTCCGTTCATTCCTCTATGGTTTAGCACTGCCAGCCAGATGGCCGACGGAACCACAATGCATCCAAGGACTGAGCCCACATCAGACTGGTTGGCTTGTGAGAGGGTACTTTTTTTTTGTTTGCTTTTTCTTTTTCGTTTTTTGTATTTTGAGATTGTACATTTCTCAGCTGCAAAGCCTTAAGTTTCGTTTTTTTTGGTTTTTGAGACCTCATTAAATCCTGAAACCGAGGAACTCTGACAGCTGCTCTGTTTGGCTCACTGGCATCAATTTAAAATCGTTTCCTCCTTTGGGCGATGAATGCATTTGGCCGTGATCCACGTTGTCCCTGTCCTGTCCATGTTACAAATGGTCGCCTCGTGTCCCCCACACCACGGGGAGTACTATCCCTTTCCCTTTTCCACAGAGACATATACATTCACTCCAACTGTTCCAGACATGTTGTTTCATTTCTCCGAGTTACGTTCACTTATAAAAAATAACGAGAAAAGCTGTTTCCAGGCGTTTTTTCCTTTCCGTTTTTCCATTTCTTGTTTCGAATTCATTAATGTCGATCAGTTTTCTAAACTCAACAGCGACAGTAGGTGTGACCAGACCCCAGGGTCGACAGAATGATGATGCCCACAAAAAAACTCTGGGAAATTCATGGGCGCAGAATTGGAGGAACCATTGAACCCATACCCCACTCTGACTGGGGTATCTAGTTCAACTGGACAGGGTAGGGGTATCTAGTTCAACTGACCATGGTAGGGGGCGTTGTATTCGGGTGGAGAGTTTTTTTTTGTGGGGGGGGGGGAGCATTTCTCTATTTATGTGTGTCATCCTTGTGCAGGGGCCATGCTAATCTCCTCTCTCTGTATAGTTCCAATTTTAACGGATGTCCCCAAGGAATGGGGAGATTTTATTTTATTTTTTTTTTTGGGGGGGGGAGGGAAGGTGGAGAATCCATTATCAAAGCACAAGACTTTGAGGCCGGGTATCCTCAACAAACAACCCGGTGTGAGCATGACACTAGGCACAGGGCCTAGCTCTAGTTTAACCGATCAGTAGGCAGCTTAGTCTATGCTAGCTGTACTGTTTTCCAATCCAGCCCTCTGCTCTTCTTATCTAGCCTACCTACCAAAGGTAATGAACCAGTCCTAAAGGGAAATGGATACTGCTGGAAGTCATCTCAACTTAAATTCCTAGGCCCGTTAACCAGGTCTAATGCCACCTGAGCTACAGAATGCTGTCCACCTGATTGACACTCCATCCACTTTCCATATTCTAATATTCTAACTAATAAGAAAAAGGGAAGTGGGTTGCCCCTAGGGGAACTCCAAAGGAAAAAAAGACAGATCAACCAACCAAAAAAAAAAAAAAAAAAAAAAAAAAAAAAAAAAAAAAAAGTAAGCTTCCTACCCTACCTCTTATAGCTGCCTGCCTCCTGCGGATAATCATTACCGAGTGTCCTGGAATTAATTGTAGGCCATACTCCAGCCACGAGCAGAATTCCAACTCACATTTTGAATTTACTGTAGCGAGCCAATTGGACTTCTTGCCCAAAGTCCAAGTCCTGAGAAACCACCTAAACCCTTTCCCTACACCCTGTCCACTTGTATTGCTCTTATTCCAATAGGCCTTGATGTATTGTCTGAGCCTCACACGAATGGCTGACTTTATCTCAACATCGGAAGTGCCCTTCCCCTGAAAGACTGCTTTGTTTCTGTTGTCCAAAATTACTGAGCAAATAATTGCTCTACATGCTTGAACAACATAGCCACAGCCTTCCGTTAGTGAGAGATCATCTGGCAGAATACCCAATAGAGCCCAAGTGCGGTCCCATTCCCAGGGCCAGTCTGAGAAGTCCTTCCAATGCATTGTCCACCATTCCCAGATTCTCCTTGAAGCTGGGCAGTCCCACCATAGGTGGGGGCCCTGGGGGCTGGATTCAAAGGGCCACACACATCATTTACAGGCCAATTGAATTTTCATTCCTCTTGCGGCCAACCAAACTGCAGATGGTGAGACTAACAAGGATAGGAGCCACAGGATTGCAGCATGTCTTTGGGACGGTAATATTTTTAACTGCTCTCACTGGCGTTTCATGGCTCCGATTACTCTTTCCCCTGTTCCTGTTAGAAGATTCTCCCATCTTTCCGCTGCCACCACCACTGGGCGTCTGGTAGGAAGTAGGAGGTCCAATGTAGACTTCATTTGATCCAACAGCAATGTGGAGCCATCCTTCCCCAGGCCACACCATCCCCAAGCCGCTGGGTCCAGATTGCGTTCAGAAATTGGTTGATCAAGTCTCGATACTACTATATGCCGATCTACCTTCTCCCATGACTCCTGTACTCTCACCTGACGCACACCCAGATATCCTAGGCTATGAGCACCTTCCTCACTCAGCTTTAATCGTATTGTGCCAGCCTGTCTTTCCGATTTGTGGAGGATTTGGGTTCCATTTGCTGTGTACGCTTCCAGTTTCCAATATTCAGTCTGTGCATCGGAGTTTTTGGAAAGGTACCAGGTCCCAGGCGGGTCTATGCCTTCTGGTGCTAGGAGATCTTTCCTAGCCTGGGGGATAATTGCAGAGATTAACAGCACCCTCTTCTCCCCCACATGATGGTATCCTACCAGTTTGCCACGTAATGCCTCTTCAGTTTGTGTTACATGCCCAGTCGGGCGATGTACATAGAAACCGAGGATCCGCAATGTGATGAAAAGGACTGAAATTCAATGGACAATGCAGTGCGAGTAGAATCTCAACAAGCAATGTGCATTCTAATACATACAAAATGGTGCTGAATAGCGCAGGGAAGACTTACATACAAATCCTGACCTGACCGGGACTGACCTCATTCACATAGTATCAGATAGCGAAGCAGAATGATAGAATGCTAATATAGCCCAATCAATGTTTGAACGCAGACCAAACATACATCGTGTCCATCACAAAGTGTGAAGGAGCCTGGCGCTGTAAACAGGAAGAAAGCGCCAGGTCCAGACATACACAGACGAAGAGGAGGGGATCAGACGAAGAGGAGAGGGAGAGATGGGAATGTCGTCAACACCAAGTCTTTGTCACAAGTCCCAAATAATCCCTCGTTGTCATGTCTGAAGCCAAAAGTCGAGTCTGGATCCAATGTCACCAAGCTCTCTCTCTCTTCTCTCGTAGTCTGCTGATGCAGTGAAGTCAGATGATGAGAGGGTGAGAGGGAGATGGTCAACTGAGAAGAGGAAGAAGAAGAACTCTCTCTCTCTCTGTTACGAGCCAGGTACTAACCTGTGAAGTTGGCGCTGTGCTGCAGGTACCTCAAAGACGAAGCTGGAGCAACGGCGCTGCAGGTAGGTACCCAAGGCCTCCGCCCAATCTCTCTCTCTAGTGCTATCCTAGCTATGGCGCCCAGCGCTGGAGACTACAGCTACCTACTGCGCCCAGCGCTGAAGACTAAGGCTAACGCTACTACTACTCCTGCAGCGCTCCCTTCAGAGTGCTGCTGCCGAATCCTGAAGACTACTACTGCCTCCTGCCTACCCTTGAACTGCATGGGAAGTCCCTATGTACTACCTCGGCCTGCCTCCTGACTGCGTGAAGGGCGAGCCAGGCCGAGGAGGCTGCTCTTGCCAATGCCGAAGTGTGCCAGGGGCTGGCGCTGCAGCATCTGCTGAGGCTGGCGTGGGAACAGGCTAAGAATAGCCTGTTCCCGAAACTCTGGTTCGGTGCCTGAGTTTCAGGGCCGGTCGTTCTGATGAACAACCGAAAATGGCCCTTCGTTTTAGGATAAAAAGGCTATTGCCATTTTTAGCCTGAAACGACACAGGGACTGTAGGCCCTTGTTTTCAGGCTTTCGGGCTGAACAGTCACGGGGCCTGTAGGCCCTGGTTTTCAGGCTTTTAGCCTGAATTTCAGGCTTTCAGGCTGAAGGACGCAGGGCCTGGAAAATGGCCCTCGTGTGCAGGCGCAGCATGTAACACCCCCCCCTCCTTATGAAGTCAAGCCGGGGCGAGGGCGAAGCCGACGATCTGAAGGTGGAACCTGGACGCGGGCGCGGCGTGGAGCTGAAGAAACCGGCTTGCCTTGCATCTTGCGTTCGTAGCGTGCGAGAACGTCTGGAGTTGTTGCTTGAAGTTCGGCTTGGTAGCCGCGGATGAAGCTGTTCCGCAGGTCGTCGTCGATCTCGAAGGTTGAGTAGACCGCGGTACAATGATTTGGTCACCGTGAAAAGAGCATCCGCAAAACGGTTCGACTTCCCGGGAATGTGATCGGGAAAGAAGTCGAACTGGTCGATGAAAGCCATCCATCGAGCGATAGTGCTGTTAATGGTGTCTTGCGTCTTATAGAAGACCAACGGATTGTTGTCCGTTACCCATCGAAATTGGCTTCGACCAAGGAGGAAGTGTCGCCACCGCTTGAGCGCGTGGACGAAGGCGAGGAGCTCCTTCTGGCGTGCATCGTCAATGGAATGCACGACGGACACTTTCTTGCTGAAATACTCGACCGAGTGTCAGTCCACACCATCATGTTGCTCGAGGACGACACCAATGTCATAGCCGGACGCATCCGTAGTGACACGCGTTGGCAAAAGTGGGTCGTATATGCGCAAGACCTCCGCAGATAATGACGCGGCTTTGAGAGCCAAAAATGATTATCGCGCCTCCTCTCCGAAGTCAAACGGCCAATCCTCGCATTGAAGCTTGGTCAAGTGGGCCGAGATCTTCGAATAGCCTTTGATAAAACGCTGGTAGTAGCCGGCAAGGCCAAGGAACGAACGGACATCCATGACGTTCCGAGGCTCCGGCCACTCTTGGATGGCTTGAATCTTGTCCGATAGCGGACTGATGCCCTCCTGTGTGACAAAATGGCCCAAGTATTTCAGCTCTTGCCGAACAAATTCGCACTTGTCGCGGTTGGCCTTGTACTTGGCGCGGCAAAGCGTCTCCAACACTCGTCGAAGATGCCCAAGATGATCCTCCAATGTCCGGCTATAGACGAGAATATCGTCTACGTAGACCAGCACAAACCGGTCCAACATTGCACGGAACTCGTTGGTCATTGTCGCTTGAAAGGTCATTGGGGCGTTGGTGAGGCCAAAAGGCATGACCACCCACTCAAAATGTCCGTACTGCATCTTGAACGCGGATTTATAGCGATCATTCGACCGGATCGATGCGGGGGAGAGACCCCGCATTCTGGACGGTTTGCGCGTTGAGCTTGCGGTAGTCGATACACAATCGTAGACAGTGCCGTACCCCCGTTCACCGTTCACGGGGTCTGTGAACGGAGCTGGTCATAGAGTTCACGAAGTTCATGGAGTTCACACAGAGCGGTATTTTTTTATTTTATTTTTTTTTCGTTGGGGGGGTATGTTTTTTTTTTATAGGAGGGTGGGGGACATCGAAGGGTAACTCCCTATACTTTTTTCAATTTTTTTTTCACGAATAATATTTTTTTTTAATGAAAAACGAGAAAAGAAAAAATAAACCAGCCAAAATAAGCATTTTTTTTTGCTATTTTGTAGGTCATTTCGATTTTTTTATTTTTTTTCAATGTCACCACGGTGTGGGGCTTGAGGCGAATGTGCCTGGGGGAGGCCAAAAAAAAAAAAAAACAAAAAAAAAACACCACTCTTTAATGGTCGGCCTGTTCACCGTGAACGGCCGTTCACAGAAAAAACATCAAATGAACAGTCGGTCACGTTCAAGTGACCGGTGCCGGTCACGTTCACGGGTCCGGCACTGATCGTAGATCCTTGTTCTTCTTCCGGACGAAGAGAACTGGTGCTTCATATGGGGAGCTACTAGGGCGGATCCAACCCTTGGCCAACAAGTCGTCGAGTTGTGCGCAGAGGACCTCAAGCTCCTCCTCGCTCATCCGATAGATGCAACATTTCGGCGGCATGGCACCGGCCTCAAGAATGATCTCGTGAGAGATCGGCCGATCCGACACCACACCGGTAGGTGACTTGAAGATGTCGACGAACTCGTCCAGCAACCGCACCACCCGGGGGTCCGAAGACAAGTCCGTCGGTGAGGCGTCGGCTACCTCGACGGTCCGTGGAAGTTGATTTTGTTATCCGCACTTGCAAGCCAAGGCATTCCCAGAATGATGTCGAAGTCCGTGTCCAAGATGTCGAAAGTCACCGGTTCGCATGCATGAGGTGCGAAATAAACCGGTACGGCCTCGTTGTAACGGTTGAGAAGTTGCTGCGTCTTTCCATCCGCCAACTTGATCGCCGCCAGATTTGCCTTCCTCTGAACCTATGCACCAAGGTCAGCCCTTTGCATAAGGCTTGGCTCATGAAATTGCGAGACGCGCCGCTATCCAGCAAAGCGTTGCAGGATGCTTGCCCAACCTGAATACAGACATACATGAGCGGTGCGTTGTTGTCATCGTACCACTGCGTGTGAAACTCGCGGGCCACCTTGGTAACATACGCAAGGATGTCCCCCACCGCGACTTCGTCATCCGTCGGAGAAGTCGGTGGTGCATAGAAGGATAAGTACGTGTGGAGATGATCGCATAGTGTTGCGCATTGCGGTCCTGGCAAGCGGTTTGTGGTCGGGAGAGGAAGCCATGCAAAGTCCTTCGACGTGAGCGGGTCCAATACCTCTATGTTGAACTCGCACGCCGAATTCCGTGAAGAACCACTTGAAAATGATAAGTCACCGTTGCCGGACAGAGAAGATGCCGCACACACGTCTTGTCCTTGAGCTTAAGTACCCAACGTAGGAAAGAGTCGGGCAGCATAGTCCTCAAAAGAATAAGTAAAAGAGGACTATCGACTTCCGCGTGCGCCTCAGAATGAAGGTCGGTTACTCGCGAAGAAACCGGTTCCGAGGCGTCGATAGTGTTGTCGAGTCACTCTCGACGGTGCTCAGTTTCCCTATTTGCCCTTGCCTTTCAATGGGCAGGCCAGTTTCTCATGGAGATCGTTGTTGCACCAGAGGCAATAGTGGAATCTCGTGCGGGCCTTGAATGCTTGCTCGGAGATGCCATATTGGGACCATGGGGCTGGAGGTGTTGCGTTGAGCCCGGGGCTAGATGCGGTGTGTGTCTTCCTCTTGCCTCGTCCTCGTCCTCTGTCGAGGCGGCCACCTTCCCGGGCGGCTGCGAGTCTGTCTCCTTCATGGGCAGACACGGCCTCGCTAGTTTGGTCAAACGGCGTTGCCGCCACGACCACGGCCACTCTTGGCCGGTGCTGGTCCCTTCTCGGGCCTGCCACAGACGAACGCAGGTTCTTAGCCTCCTTGTTCGTAATGATGATCTGCGTGGCCTTGTCAAAAAGTTCCTCCGTCGTCGTCAACGTGTCCTCGACGTGAGTCAGGGCATTACTTAATGTCGGACAGGACCTTGAGATGAAATAGTGGTGGATGGCTTTGAAGCCCATTTGGATGTCTGGGACTGACGTCAAGCGTTGGTACTCGGTGATCCAGTCGGTACTCGGCAACGCGCCTTGTTCGAAGACCATGAGCTTGTCCATAGCCTTGATCTCTGGCGACTCGACTTGGAACCGCTTGTGCCACGCCGCCTTCAGATCATCCCAACTGATCTTGGTGTGCAAGTTGGCAGCTACCACTCCGTACTTGGACAAGAGATTGTCCAACCAAGCCTGGCACTCGCCCCCTGAGCGAGAGTACAAGTATGCATGGTGCTTGTGTTCTTTGACGTTGTGTAGCTGCAGCGTGAGCTCGAACTTGCAAAACCATGGGATCGGATTTGTCTTGATCGAGTCGCAAAAGATCTTCCACCCGTCAAACTTTGTAGCTGTCTCGCGAGGTTCCGGACTCGAGGTGTTGGCTGCAGTACAGATCCGTTGTTCCAACTGTTGTGCTGTGGTCTGCTGCAACTGCACGTCATCCTTCAGGAAGTCGACATCCATCTCCAGTGCTTCGAGGCGATCAGAGGTGTTAAAAGAGCTAGCATCGGGGGCGGCGTCAGATCGTTGCTCCATCTACCGGAGGCGGCCTTGGACTTGAGCTAGCGAGTCGTCGAGGTTGTCATTGTGAGCAAGGTCCGCTCTCCGTTAAAAATCTTCTCACGACGTTGAATTCTTTCTTCATCAACAGCCTTTGTTGTTGCCTCGTCATGTTGGCGTTGTTGTTCAATTGCCAGCAGACGTGCCTGTTCGGCGTCCTCTGCCTTCTTCTTCGTTGTTGCTACTGCGTCATCCGCCCGTTTCTTTGTTTCGGTACTCCAAGCTATCATCCAGGCCTGATAAGCCTCGTCTGCTTCTCCGGACCTCTGGTCCATGACGGTTGTATGTGAACGAAACAACATAGACCAGGCTGGGGGCCTGCTGACGTGGTATTTCCTGCTCTGTCGGCTGATGTGGCCTTCTGACGTGGCCTGTTGACGTGGTCTTCTGGCGTGTCCTGCTAACGTAGTCTGCTGACGTGGCCTGCTGACGTGGCAACTCACCAATGTCGTCGCAGGGGGTACCCGAAAATGGATACAGAAGGTAAGGTCAGAGGGGGCAACAACATAGGTGGGGAGGGTGGGTGGGAAGAATCGCCCAGATAAGGAGCCACTAATCAAAAAAGAAAAGTTTGAACTTTGCAAAAAAAAAATCGAAATAATAAAATCCCGAGTTTTGCAAGTTCAGTAGGTCTCCCAACCTCCCATGAAGTGGGAAATGATTAATGAGAGAAAAAAAATTTGACTTCAGACTGCAAATGATTTATAGAACTAACTGACAGAATCCTAGAACTGTGAAAAAAAAATTCCCAAAACAATAAAATATTCGGACTTACTCAGATGAGAGTATTCGCAGTTTGAAAAATAATACCTGCAGGAGGGATTTCCCTTACCGTTTTCAAAAAAACAAATTTCGAAAACTAAGATATTCTGAATTTTCAAATAACGGGAAATGCAACAGGAAATCGAAATTTTCGAAAATAATAATATTTCGGATTTTCAACAACGAAATTTCGAATTTTTTGAGGAAAAACGAAAATGGGAATTTCAGTTGTTGCGCTATTACGATTTTCCACAACAGAAATAGCGAGAGAACAAAATCGAAGGAAAAAAAAATAAAATTGATTTTCGGCAGTAAGGTCAAAATCATGATTTTGGGGTCTAACTAGTGTGCTCTAATCAATCAATAAAGACTAATCAGCTACCTAGTCCCCGCACACGTGTCAGATCAAGTTGTCGTGATTCACGTGCGACGTTCGAAGACCAATTGTTACATGCCCAGTTGGGCGATGTACATAGAAACCGAGGATCTGCAATGTGATGAAAAGGACTGAATGGACAATGCAGTGCAAGTAGAATCTCAACAAGCAATGTGCATTCTAATACATACAAAATGGTGCTGAATATCGCAGGGAAGACTTACATACAAATCCTGACCTGACGGGGACCGACCTCATTCACATAGTATCAAATACTACAGATAGCGAAGCGGAATGCTAGAATGCCAATGACCAGCCCAATCAATGTTTGAACACAGACCAAACATACATTGTGTTCATCACAAAGTGTGAAGGAGCCTGGCGCTGTATACCGGAAGAAAGCGCCGGGTCCAGACGTACACAGACGAAGAGGAGGGGATCAGACGAAGAGGAGAGAGAGAGATGGGAATGTTGTCAACACCAAGTCTTTGTCACAAGTCCCAAATAATCCCTCGTTGCCATGTTTGAAGCCAAAAGTCGAGTCTGGATCCAATGTCACCAAGCTCTCTCTCTCTTCTCTCGTAGTCTGCCGATGCAGTGAAGTCTGATGATAAGAGGGTGAGAGGGAGATGGTCAACTGAGAAGAGGAAGAAGAAGAACTCTCTCTCTCTGTTACGAGCCAGCTACTAACTTGTGAAGTTGGCGCTGTGCTGCAGGTACCTCGAAGACGAAATTGGAGCAACGGCGCTGCAGCTAGGTACCCAAGGCCTCCGCCCAATCTCTCTCTCTCTAGTGCTATCCTAACTATGGCGCCTAGCGCTGGAGACTACAACTACCTACTGCGCCCAACACTGAGACTAGGGCTAACGCTACTACTACTCCTGCAGCGCTCCCTCCAGAGTGCTGCTGCTGAATCCTAAAGACTACTACTGCCTCCTGCCTACCCGTGAAGTGCATGGGATGTTGGGAAGTCCCTATGTACTACCTCAGCCTGCCTCCTGACTGCCTGAAAGGTGAGCCAGGCCGAGGAGGCTGCTCTTGCCAATGCCAAAGTGTGGCTGGGGGCGGGGGCTGGCGTTGCAGCATCTGTTGAGGCTGGCGTGGGAACAAGCTAAGAATAGCCTATTCCCGAAACCCTGGTTCCGTGCTTGAGTTTCAGGGCCGGTCGTTTTGATGAACGACCGAAAATGGCCTTTCCTTTCAGGCTAAAAAGGCTATTGCCATTTTTAGTCCGAAACGACACAGGGACTGTAGGCCCTTGTTTTCAGGCTTTTGGGCTGAACAGTCACGCGGCCTGTAGGCCCTCGTTTTCAGGCTTTTAGCTTGAATTTCAGGCTTTCAGCCTGAAGAACGGAGGGCCAGGAAAATGACCCTCGTGTGCAGGCGCAACATGTAACAGTTTTTCGTTGGCTTGTTATAGAATCCCAGAGGTCTCTAATGTGCGGGACTCCTTTTTCAATCCATCCATAGCCAAAGGATGTTGGTTCTCTGTTTGCTTTGAGCCGGTTACCTCCCGTGTCAAGAGCACCAGGATTATCAAACAGTGGTTGGTTTAAAACCTCTTCCACAGTCGTTGGACTGAGCCAAGTATTTGGCTTCACTCTTCTCCAAGCTTTGACAACATCCGACCAAAATCTTGATCTGGTCTTTCTGGTCAGATAAGATTTCAATTGGAGGCACATCCAAACATCCTATTCCCAATTGAACTCTCATTCTGCTGACAGAATGTGTTTGCCCATTTGAACCCAATGTTCGGTGCCCTCACAGTTTACAGCCTTGATTATCCAATTAGCTAAAAGCAGATAATTATGTCTGGTTGGATCATTGATCCCCAGACTTCCTTCTACTCGTGGTTGGGCAATTAACTCCCAGGCCACTTTCGAAATAAAACCCTCTTCACCATCTGCTTTAGGCTTCCATACGAAGTCCGTAGAGAGTCATCTAACCTGTGCTAGGAGGGAGGGACTCAGTAAGCGAACTGTGCATACAAAATTGAGAAGAGACATCAACGAAGTGTTCACCACCATAGCTCGCCCAAACAGTGAGAGATGTGAAGCAGCGTTCCAAGATTCCTTCCTCGTTGCTACCTTATTCTATAAAATTTTCTCTTGTGTCTTTTGACAGGAGTCCAAGGCAACGATGACTTCTAAGAACCGTTCTGCTTCAACCTTTTTTATCCGCTTCATACCCCAGTATGCCTCCAAAGTCATTGACTGGGGCAGAAAATAGACAGACTTTCTCCAGTTCACTGCAGCTTCCGAGAACCTCGAGTATTCGTCCAATGAATATTTTAGAGTTTCCAACGCACTCAAGTCATTCCTGCAGAGCCGAAATAAATCATCTGCTAGGGCTTTGACTTTGCATTCTCCCTTCCGCAGTGCCAAACCTACGATTTCAGGTCGGTGTCTGATATTCGTGGTGATTACTTCCAATTGGAGGACAAAAAGAAGAGGTGCCAAAGGACATCCTTGTCTCAGCGATCCTATGAAACCTCGCGTTTAATGAACGCGGGTTCCACGTTCAGTTTTTGAACGCGTTGAACTCGCGTTCACTGAACGCTGGTGAACGTTTTTGACGCGTTTGCGGCTGGGCTGAAAAGCATCGGGTAGGGGATGTTTTGGCAAGGGTGGGTTGTGGGAGGTGTGGAAGGGGTGTGGGCGCACCATGATCACTCAATACGAGCTAAAAACAAAAGAAAATGGAAAAAAAAGGTATAAAAAGGTGTGTGTGTGTGTGTGTGTGTGTCTGTGTGTGTGCGTGTGTGTGTGTTTTGAGTGTGTGTGTGTGTGTGTGTGTGTGTGTGTGTGTGTGTGTGTGTGTGTGTGAGAGAGAGAGAGAGAGAGAGAGAGAGAGAGATGTTGACATCATTGTACTTCCATCAATAGAGAGCGGAATCGGATGAATCTACCTCTAAAACATGGAAATATACACACGCACACACACACACACACACACACACACAAGTAGTTTTTTTGTTATTATTTTTTTAACTCAGTGCACCCCCTGGTAGCTGCGGACGTCCGCATGCCGCCAGGGGGCTCACGTTCAATTTTTTCGTGTCCCCTGCCATGTGGCAGGATTGAACACGCACCCAAAGGAGAACTGGACGCGCGTGTTTGAACGAGAACGCACGTTCAAGGCATTTAATCGGTTACATAGCAGCGATCTTGATAACCGAAAGGGGTCTGAATGAATCCCGTTGACCATGACTGTTCTAGTGGAATGGGTGTACAACACGACCACCCATCGGCAAAAATTCTCGCTGAAACCTAGGTGGCGTAGAGTAGTCAGCACAAAACTCCAGTTGACTCTATCATACACTTTCTCTAGGTCTAACAGTAGAACTGAGAGAGGTAGTTCCTCTTTCTCCATGATCTTTAATTCAAAGCTTCTATCGCCATGACAATATTATCAAAGATTAAGTGCCTTTGGATGAATGCTGCTTGGTCTTGGCCCACCAAATCAGGCAGGTAATGTGCTAATCTTCTAGGAAATGTCTTTGCAAGGATTCTGTAGGAAACATTTAACCGAGATATAGGTTTCCAGTTCCTAATTTCGTCTTTTTTCTCCTTTCTTGTAAATTGGCGTAATCACCCCATGACATGCTTGCCGACAGATTATCACCCGTGAGGGCATTGTTATACCTTTCTAGCAATACCTTTCTAGTTTCCAGCCAGAAAGTCTCATAGAACTTCACCGTCATGCCATCCGATCCGGGGGCTTTACCCCTTGCCATAGACTTCAAGGCCTGATCGGTTTCTGCGTCTGTAATCG